CTATGCTGTGACACTTCTGGGCAACCTGCTCATCATGGTGACTGTCCTCGTCAGCCCCTCTTTGGGCTCCCCAGTGTACTTCTTCCTTACATATCTGCCACTCATAGATGCTGTTTATTCCACTATCTTCTCACCCAAGTTGCTGATGGACCTACTCAGTGATAGAAAGACCATTTCCTTCTCAGCCTGCATGATCCAGCTCTTTATAGAGCACCTATTTGCTGCTGCTGAGGTCTTCCTTCTGGTGGCAATGGCCTATGACTGCTGTGTGGCCATCTGTAAGCCTCTGCATTATTTGACCATCATGAACCGATGTGTTTGCATCCTTTTCTTGATAGTGTCTTAGGCTGGAGGTTTTGTACACTATGTAATTCAACTTGTGTTTGTGTATAATCTCCCCTTCTGTGGCCTCAATGTCATGGATCACTTTGTCTGTGACATTTACCCATTGCTGGAGCTTGTGTGCACTGACACCTACCTAATTAGCCTCACAGTTGTGGCCAATGATGGAGTCATCTGTATGGTGATCTTCATCCTTCTCCTCATCTCCTATGGAATCATCCTAGATGCTCTTAAAACTCATGGTCAGGAAGGGAGGCGCAAGGCCCTTTCTACCTGTGGCTCACATATCACCGTGGTTGTCCTCTTTTTTGTTCCCTGTATTTTTGTTTACGTTAGACCTGTTTCTACCTTTCTTGCTGATAAGTATGTCAGTGTGGTTTTTACAGTTATTACTCCTACGCTGAATCCTTTAATATACACCCTGAGAAATTCAGAAATGAAAAATGCTATGAAAAAACTCTGGTATAGGAAGAAAAATACCGATGGAATATAAATGTGTGACTGACACTGAGGTAATTTGCTAGGAATTCCACAACCATACCATAAAATCTAACAAAGATGCTGTTGCCAACACAATGGAGTCTCTATGACTGCTTCTATTTGTGATGTAAATCCATCAATAGTCTTTTGTGATTAAGATCAACCTTATAGAGAATATGAGAGGATGAATAAAAGATATTTGTATCACTGAAAAAAAATAAAAGGTCGATTTGAAACTTTGTTTTTCAATTTTTTTGAAAAGAGACTTAAATTTATAAATAATGAAAATAAACTGCCCTTTATGACAACAAAAATTATTTGTTACATTATATCATAGATCCTGTAGCCATTTAAGAAGTGACTTTTTTCAATTTTTATTTTCCATTAGTACATGTTTGAAGGACATAGTAGCCACATTCCTCATAATAGCTGAATCTTGGAAGCTTCTTATATGTCTATCAAGAGATAAATGGGTAAAAACATATATAGCATTTGAACACAGTGGAGTACTACTCTGCCATAAAGAATGATAAACTCAAGTCATTCATAGGAAAATGGATATATCTTGAGACCATAATGTTAAGTGAAATAAATAAGAAACAAAGGTTTGAAGATTGCATGGTTTCTCTTATGATGGACACACACAACATAAGTGAATAAATAAATAGCAAAATAAAATATAGATGAAAGGAGCTAGGGAGACAGATCTTTTGCAAATGGGAATGGGAATGGGACTTAGAGACGGAGGGGAGGGAAGGAAAGAAGAGGAAAGGGATAAAAAAAAGAATTGAAAAATGTTGAGGCTACTTCTGAAAGCTTAATATCATCCAAATTAATGAGAAAGAAATCTGCCTGATACTTAGATGAATTTTTCTAGGCTAAAGAATGAGTTTTTATTTTTATGTTAATTATTCTGTTAGCACAGCAACTTTTGTAGCTGCCTTTGAGTGCTTGGTTACTGCGGATGCACTGTGCTTTGGAAAACACTCCAATCCAACTGATCAGCATGTTTGTGTGATTCTTCTCACTGTTTATCGTGTGCATTTTTCATATTCTTATTTTGTCTTCATGAAAGAAAAAATGAGTAAGGAAAATGTGTATATATCAGTTTCCTGTATATATATATCAGTTTCCTCAATCCTGTTGCAATCTAAAACATCATAAACTGAGAAGATAGAATTGCTCTCATTACAAGATGAAACAGCACATATACTTGATAAGGGTTGCCTTTTCTAACTGAAATTCTTCATGACAAGTAGGATATTTATACTTCTCTTTTACAGGTGATTCCATGTTTTTGGTGAGGCTACCCTATGAATTACAATCCGACTAGCAATGTACTGTAGTTCAGTTGCTCTACATCCACTGATAAAATGCCTGACACTGTGAAATGCTTAATATTTTTGTGAATGTAATGGGTGCATGACTGTCTGTTCACTGTGCTTTTAATTTGCATTGTATTTCCTCTGAAGTTGAGCATATTTTCAAGTGTTTACTGGCAATTATTTGTTCTAATCTTCTATGAAATGCATATTTATATTTTTGCTGTTTGTTTTCCTATTATTAAATTATTGGCATTGTTTATATTTCTTGTATACTAATTATTGTATATATGTCACAAAATCTCTATTTGTTGTTTCACTTTGTTACTATATTATTTCATTTGATGAACAGGAACTTCCTTTGTGATTTGATTTTTTTAATGTTTTGTTTTGTAAATTGAGAATTGAATATATTTATGATACATAATACATTGTTTTGAAATATATACATATTGTAGAATGTCTAGGTTAAGCTAAATAATATATTATTACCCAAACTATTTTCTTTTGTGGTGAGAACAATTACAGTCTACTCTTACCCCTTTTTAGGAAAATACTATTTCAAGAAAATTGTACATTTCTGTTAACTATAGTCACAATGTTGTTTAATACAGCTCTTGACCTATTCCTCCTACCTGAACTTTTATATCCTTTTACCATTTCCACATGTCCTCATTGGTTAGCTAATTCTTGGCAACCAATATTCTACTGTCTAATTTTATGCGTCTAATGTTTTGTAATTCACACATAAATGAAAACTTGCAGTATTTGTCTATCTGTGCCTGACTTGTTTCATTTAACATACTCATCCATGTTAGTGTAAATGATAGAATTTCATTCTTTTCTAAGGCCGAATAGTATCCAGCCATATTGCCCAGAGCCCTGGTACTCTGGGAGGTATAGTAGATTTCCCACCAAGAGACCAATCAAAATATCTAGAAATAGGCTTTGCAAAAGAGAAGGCTTGTGAGAACTAACTGGCACTAACAGGGAAACAGAGTTAATTGCAACTCTAGCAGGGAGGATCTACAGGAAGTGTGTATGCGTCCAACAACACTTCATGGCAAAATCCCACCAAGAGTGGTACAGGTCAGCAGCAGCACCTGGCCAAAATCCCACAGGAGAATTGCTCACCTGGTGCTACAGGACAGGAGTACAAGTCAAAGGTCCCACTGCAGCAAATTCTCATGGGAGGAGCATACAGGTCAATGTCTCCACCAGACCAAAATCCATGATAGACACAGACCAGTCAACAGGTTTTGTGGCCAAGGTGACAGACAGTTGGATGAATTGCTCAGCCACAGCTCCACTCTGGGTTCCTCCAGGGAGAAGTTTTAGAGATTAATTTACATCACAGGGACATCATTAGTTCTTTGTTCATATGTATTCTGCAGCCATTTCATGAGCTGTTCCATTGTCTGTTAGGTCCACTTGGTGCGTAGTGTAATTTATCTCTAATATTTCTTTGCTGATTTTCTGTCCATTGGTGAATAAGGGACATTGAAATCCTTGCCTATTGTTATTTTGGAATCTATCTTTTTCCTTTGTATCTAATATTTTTTCTGTCTTATTTCTTTGGATTTTTTTACAAGAAGACAAATATTTCCATACATGAATATAACCTTCATAATATTGATAATGTCACTACAAAGACAAATGGACAGC